TTCTGATCTTAATAGATTTGCCTGTCTTACTTGTTGACAACTTAGTTAATGGTATGTTTTTTCCTTTCACTTTATTTTTTTAAGAATGCTAGCAGTTATTTTTCTGAGTCTTCTATCAATATAATATAGTATCATTTGTGTATCTTATGTTGTCAAAATTATGACCACCAATAATAAATCCTGGTAGCACTTGTAGTTCTCTTAGGATAATCTCTCCTTATAGGTTGAATAAATAAAATGAGAAAACATAATGGCTTACCCTTCTTTCTATTTTTGTGTTTTCGCTTAATTTATTTTCTATCCACATTCAAGTGATTTGTTCCTAGTAAATGTTGCAGATTATTCTCATATGTTTCCCATGTAAGACAATTTTTCTTTCAAATAGGGTACAGTGGTTAAATGATATGATAAAAACAACAAGGAAGATGATACTAGTACATAAGAAACATTGTGCAATAAAATAGGTATTCATCCTACTGTTGGTATAAAGAATGTAAAAGTTTTACAATAGAAATGCATAGCAGATGATTTTATAATAGAAATGTATTGAAAATCAAAAAGGAAGGAATTGTCATTGGTCAGGAATTAATGTAAGTGTAAGGATACAAAAGCAATTATCTCCCTTTGATCATGATGAAGTCACATGGGTCATAAGACAGATGCTTACTGAACATCACTTTACAAAAAAAAAGTGACAAAAGTGGTTAGTCTGTCAATTAATTGCTTGGAGTCAAGACACATGTGTTGTTTGTTCTGCCTGGTCTTCTGCATGGACCAGCCAGCTGCCTCGTGGTGCTGCTTACAAGCCCATGGCACTGTTTTTCTATAGAAATATATCTCTGCAGTCTTCATGTTGGGAAAAACTCATGGCTCACCATTTCACATTTGAAAGGAATATGTCCTCACTAGTGACATAGCAGATAAATCCTGCTTGCTTGAATTTGGAATCCTAAATATGGCCTCCCCAGAAACACAAAAGAATCTCTGTCAGCTTATTACAAGTAAGACACTCTTTTCATCTGCTTTTCACACTTCTTGTTTTTGCATATATGTGTTATAGTTTCTCTGTGTGGAACACATGTAAATATGTATATATAATTTTGTGTATGACTTAGTGGCATAAAACTCCCTGAGAAGAAAGCATGCTTGTCATTCCTTTTCTTCAAGCTATTCTGTTCCATCTGTGAAATAATGTTATTATATCATGGATATAATATAACTCATAATGGGGGAAATAAAAATGGGATAATATTCATTTCTTCCATGAGCTCATCCTTTACAAGGATTACTGACAGAATGGGGATATGTGCATAATAAACCATTACATTAGAAATGCTATGTAAATTAGAAAAATGGAATAGTCAGCAGTCATGAATAATTACATTACAGACAGAATAATGGTAATAAATGTATAACAAAACATTTACAATAGAAATGACTTCTAAATGATTTTTTGATAGAAACAACCTTTAATGGTTAAAGTGTAAAATGTAACTTCCAGTAAGATTTGATTTCACAACCTACCTTAACTAAACTGCCCTCAAAATGCTTTCTTATTTTAACTCAGTACTTTCTCAGCACTTTTTTTAATATATTTATATTAATGGTAATGGTAATATTAGCAGTTTCCTTATAAGAAAACATTTGGCATTCATTGACTGACCAGCTTGTTGAAATTTATAAAATCGTTCACTTAAAACAATTTTTCAGGAAGATAGGTTTGTCAAGTCCAGTAGCTGTTGTCCTCTTTCCTAACCTTTTATTTGAAGTCATGTGGAATGTTGACATCTTCATTATGTCATTTTTTTTCTTTGAGTTATAGGTGCTATCCATTTTAGTTGTTGCTGCTGTTGGTAGTCCTCATGTGATGTTGTCTCTGTTATCTGGTGCAATACTTTGTGATTCTTTATCACCAGCCCACAAAGTTTGAAGACGTGTGGTCTTTGCCAAGACATATAGGCTTCATTTTCTCAAATCAGTTTTTAAATCTGAGAAAGTGGTTCCATACAGTTGACTGCTTAGATATTTCTGAACAGTTTTGATGCCATGCATGACATTCATATGAAAGTCTTCATCTAATGTTGCTATTTAAGAACATGACTTGAATTTTTAACCCTTTAATGGCAAGCATTATCATTTGACTCTTTAATGGCAAGCATTATCATTTCTTATTTCATTGGCGATCAGTAGATGTCATTAATTGATGATTTCAGTTTTTTCTAATGATATATTTATTCATGATTCTAGGTGACTAAGTGGCAACTCTAGAATTTATGGGGTTGTAGTGAATGTGCTATGGGGGTGTAATGGATAATGGCTTAAAATGAGATACTCTTCCCCTAGCTATGGGTTAAATAGTAGGACTTGGCAAACCATTGTTGTTCTCTGAAAATTGTTAATTCACTCACAAAAGAAGAATTATTCTTACAATCCAAAACATGTATAAAAGGTTGATAAACTGTAAAAAAGAAAATCAATCATTCAATCATGGAGTTATATCACTTCCTGGAGTATTTTCCTGCAAATAAAGCTGAAAGAACAAGACAAAGACAGTGTACATTTCTCAAAGAAAAAAATGGGGGAAAATGATAATAGCTTGGTGCAAGGAATGCACAACTCTCTTTGTTTCATTTCCCTTTTTACTTTTTTATATGATTCAGAACAGTCAAAATAACATTTTTGTAATTTACACTATTTGCATTCAGACTATTGTCCTCATCTTCGTTGATGATATCACAATATTTTGGTTGGTGTGCCTTCCTGTCTTCCTCAAGGGTTTATTTATCTGGTTAACCTACAGAGAATTCTGAAATTAACCCTTTATTTAATCTACTAGCTTAAAAGCCACCCTATCAGGTAGAATTTAGGCTAGCTCCTGCAGAGGGTTCTTAACAGGCTCTTTGGCTTGTTCAGAAGTTTGAGAGCCCCTAAATCTTTTGTATATTCTCAACATTGGAAGCTCTCCTGATTGCTGTTTGATCTGGGTTTTCATTTGCATGGGATTTTCTTTTCCTCATTGCAGCCTTAGCACCTTTGAGAGCAATCTGGTCTTCTGTTGGTGGAGATTTCTTTTTGTGAGGCATACTGCTGCTGTATGTGATAGGCAACAATAAACTACAGAAGACCTCAAAATTGATTGTTGCATATAAGAATTGCATTAACACTTATGCTTACCTTTTAAAAGCTCAACGATAATTCTTCTGTAGCCATTTTAATTTAAAGACAATGTATATAGGTCCATACTTCCTGTACAAACAATTACTTTTATTTCATGGGTGACTGTTGCTGGATTTTGCAATTAATTTTGATTATTCCCAAATTTATTTCCAAATTCTAAAAATTGTTATCGTACAAAAAATTTGTTACAAAAAAAAAAAAATTGCTGAAATCAATCACAGTAATAAAAACTTGGGAATCCAATATTTCAGGATTGCGGATCCGGGTCCGGTCCAGAATGTTTTAATTTGCTCATGGTGTCAACCGGATTTCAAAATGGTATGATATGTTGGGTTACAGCCTCTAGGAGTTTGTATTTATTATATAGAAGTAGATGAGATTTTTTAAGTTAGAGAGTTTAAATTGAAAAAGTGTGACAGAGATTTTTGAAATTTATTATATAGATGTATTTCAGTTTGGAATTCCCTGTAGATTACCTGGCTCAATATACACCTGATGAAGGGTCGAGGCACAATGGCCGAAATGTGATAACGACAATAAAGATGAAAACAATAGTCTAAATGTAAAATAGTGTAAATAATGATAACTTTTCATCCCAAAAATTCAAACAGAAATCATTTTTGTAGCTTTCGTATATAATTAAAGTGAAAATAAGAAAAATAAACATCCTTTAAAAAATGAATTTATTTGTTTAGCATGCAAACTTTTCTTACTATTTAATGATTAAATAGTGAAGTAGGGCAGATTATAAAGGTGTAAAATTTCAAGGGCATTATGTTTTTTTTTGCTGATATAAATGAATTGATCTTAAGTATTCTTGAATAAAAAGATTATAAGAAAATATCCATTTTGGTACTATATAAATTGACTGGTTCAG